TATAGCACCTTGTTGCAAAGTATAGCACCTTATGGCCAAAGTATAGCACCTTGTTGCAAAGTATAGCACCTTATGGCCAAAGTATAGCACCTTATTGCAAAGTATAGCACCTTATGGCCAAAGTATAGCACCTTATTGAAAAGTATAGCACCTTATGGCCAAAGTATAGCACCTTACGCTCTCTGGAAATTCTGAGCTCCGAGTCGTCGCGACCATTTCAGTTTTTTTCCGCGCGACGAGAACACTCGGCGACCGACGCGTCGTCGTAATAGGCCGATCATCCGCCGCGTCGGCCGGTCCTCGCCCAATTTCGAAGCTTCAGGCAAAGTATAGCACCTTATTGCAAAGTATAGCACCTTATGGCCAAAGTATAGCACCTTACGCTCTCTGGAAATTCTGAGCTCCGAGTCGTCGCGACCATTTCAGTTTTTTTCCGCGCGACGAGAACACTCGGCGACCGACGCGTCGTCGTAATAGGCCGATCATCCGCCGCGTCGGCCGGTCCTCGCCCAATTTCGAAGCTTCAGGCAAAGTATAGCACCTTATTGCAAAGTATAGCACCTTATGGCCAAAATATAGCACCTTACGCTCTCTGGAAATTCTGAGCTCCGAGTCGTCGCGACCATTTCAGTTTTTTTCCGCGCGACGAGAACACTCGGCGACCGACGCGTCGTCGTAATAGGCCGATCATCCGCCGCGTCGGCCGGTCCTCGCCCAATTTCGAAGCTTCAGGCAAAGTATAGCACCTTATTGCAAAGTATAGCACCTTAGTCACGTGTTATTGACCAATCATCCACCGTGACGGGGGGTCCTCGCGCAATTTTGAAGCTTCTGGGCAAAGTATAGCACCTTATGGGAAAGTATAGCACCTTTTGGCTAAAGTATAGCACTATATTACAAAGTATAGCACTTTATTGGGAAAGTATAGCACCTTATTGGCAAAGTATAGCACCTTATGCTTTCTGCAAATTCTGCACCTTAAGTGTCTTAAATCAAATCAGTTTTTTTCGCCGCGATGAAACCACTCGACGACCTAGGTGATGTGTTTATTGACCAATCATCCACCGTGACGGGGGGTCCTCGCGCAATTTTGAAGCTTCTGGGCAAAGTATAGCACCTTATGGGAAAGTATAGCACCTTTTGGCTAAAGTATAGCACTATATTACAAAGTATAGCACTTTATTGGGAAAGTATAGCACCTTATTGGCAAAGTATAGCACCTTATGCTTTCTGCAAATTCTGCACCTTAAGTGTCTTAAATCAAATCAGTTTTTTTCGCCGCGATGAAACCACTCGACGACCTAGGTGATGTGTTTATTGACCAATCATCCACCGTGACGGGGGGTCCTCGCGTAATTTTAAAGCTTCTGGGCAAAGTATAGCACCTTATGGGAAAGTATAACACCTTTTGGCCAAAGTATAGCACTATATTGTAAAGTATAGCACTTTATTGGCAAAGTATAGCACCTTATGCTTTCTGAAAATTCTACACCTTAAGTGTCTAAAATCAAATCAGTTTTTTTCGCCGTGAAGAAACCTCTCGACGACCTACGTGACGTGTTTATTGACCAATCATCCACCGTCGCGGCGAAAAAAACTGATTTGATTTTACACACTTAAGGTGCAGAATTTTCAGAAAACATAAGGTGATATACTTTGCCAATAAGGTGCTATACTTTGCCAATAAAGTGCTATACTTTGCCATATAGTGCTATACTTTGGCCAAAAGGTGCTATACTTTCCCATAATGTGCTATACTTTACCCAGAAGCTTCAAAATTGCGCGAGGACCCCCCGTCGCGGTGGATGATTGGTCAATAAACACATCACCTAGGTCGTCGAGTGGTTTCATCGCGGCGAAAAAAACTGATTTGATTTACGACACTTAAGGTGCAGAATTTGCAGAAAGCATAAGGTGCTATACTTTTCCAATAAGGTGCTATACTTTCCCAATAAAGTGCTATACTTTGTAATATAGTGCTATACTTTAGCCAAAAGGTGCTATACTTTTCCATAAGGTGCTATACTTTGCCCAGAAACTTCAAAATTGTGCAAGGACCCCCCGTCGTGGTGGATGATTGGTCAATAAACACGTCACGTAGGTCGTCGAGAGGTTTCGTCACGGTGAAAAAAACTGATTTGATTTTAGACACTTAAGGTGCAGAATTTCCAGAAAGCATAAGGTGCTATACTTTACCAATAAGGTGCTATACTTTGCCAATAAAGTGTTATACTTTACAATATAGTTCTATACTTTCGCCAAAAGGTGCTATATTTTCCCATAAGGTGCTATACTTTGCCCAGAAGCTTCAAAATTGCGCGAGGACCCCCCGTCACGGTGGATGATTGGTCAATAAACACGTCACGTAGGTTGTCGAGTGTTTGCATTGCCCTAAAAAAACTGATTTGACTTATCACAATAAGTTGATGAATTTCCAGCGACCATAAGGTGCTATATTTTATCGATAAGGTGCTATACTATTGCCATAAGGTGCTATACTTTATAATAAGGTGCTATACTTTATCAATAAGCTGCTATACTTTCCCATAAAGTGCTATACTTTATCAAAATCTAAAAATTGAGCGAGTACCCCTCGTCGAGGTGGATAATTGGTCACGCGACACATAATATTGCCCAATAGGCTGTAGTTAACACAACCTACCATCAAAATTTCTTCAGTTCAATCAGTGCATCAGTTCATTACAGATATTCATATCTATCAACCACTAAACTCAAGCGCATAACATTGAATGAAAATAATCCATGAAGATTGAATGGAAATAATCCAAAATCACCACTATCGAAACGTTGTATACATTTCTACTAGATACATTTCTACTAGTTACACTGATAAATTTGATACAACATGATACATTGGATAGTGCATTTGATACAATATGCACACAAATCATCTATATATACATAATATAGAAAATTTCATACAACACGATACATTGGATACTACATGGTACATCATAGTGCAGGCTGTAGTTGATTTGCCGTTTGGGTTGCAATGTGACATCAATGCAAAGATCTGATCGAATGCCAATAGTGGGGGATTCTCTCATGTATTTGATTGGAAAGTTAGTGTGCATTGACGAATGGTTTCTGATTGAGGGGTAGCTGTGCGTTACGTTAGGTGTGCCATTGATGATGGAATATATGTATCCCACCATAAAAATGTTACAATCTACGCTCCTGCACAAATAAATGTCACAATCAATGATTGCATGATAATTTTTTTTTTATTAACTGTCAATTCTAACTTATCGTGCATTTCCAAAGCAAAATACATGAAAGTAATATCGAGAAATGCTAGCATAAGAGGCTTCATACCACTTTCAAAGGAATCATCTATAAGCTTTTATGCAATATCAATTCTAACTTATCGTGCATTTCCAAATCAAAATACATGAAAGTAATATCGATTTAAAGAGGGCTGACCATTGACAATGCTCTATGGAAGTTTGAGACCACCACATACGACTGCACTATTATTGATGCTCCTGGGCATCGTGATTTCATCAAGAACATGATTACCGGTACCTCTCAAGCTGACTGTGCAGTATTGGTTATTGACTCCACCGCTGGCGGTTTTGAGGTTGGGCAGACACGTGAGCACGCTCTTCTTTTGAGGTTGCCAGGCAGTTGGAATTTGAGTAACCAACAATCATCAAAATCAAAATCAAATATTGATAAGAGAGAACACTAAGCGTAAATTCAACAAACAGGTGGTGGACAAAGAGTTGAACTAACCTGACTTGCAATGGAGAACAACATAACCCACCTCCTTCTGCCGAACCCACTTCCTTTGAGCGCCAAGGATCCTCACCATCGTCGTCGGCTTATGCGAAAGCAGCTCCTTACAAAGCCAGGCGGTCTTCGACCTCCGCCATTACTCCGAGTGCTCCTCAAGCTCCGTCCACTGGCGGCAATGACAAGTGCTTCAGGTTGATGGGCGAACTACAGGGAGTCAATGTCGAAATCATTGGTGGGCTATTCATCTACTTCAAGGTCGACGGTGGTGGGTGACGTGGCGGCGAGGGGAGATAGGGGCAGTGGATGCAGAGGTTGATGGGCTTGAGGGAGGAGGAGAAGTGAAGGGAGGGAAGAGGAGGAGGTTGGTGGTAGTGGTTGAGGGGAAGTGAAGAGAGGGAAGAGGAGGAGGGGAGAGGGAGAGATCTCTTCTGAGCTCAGATGGAGGAGGGGAGAGGGAGAGATCAGTTAGGGATGAAGGGTAGTTTAGGATTTTTTAAATTTTTTGGATAAATACAGTACAAATAATGGGTGTATTGTGTAGTTTAGGATTTTTTAAATTTTTTGGATAAATACAGTACAAATAATGGGTGTATTGTACATTTGGGTTTAAAAATAAGTGGGATGTGATATAGTGGGTCTATTGATGTTTTGAAAAGTGAATGGGTTTTTAAATAAGTTGGGGTAAAACTTTAAGTGAATGGGTTTTTAAATAAGTTGGGGTAAAACTTTGGGTTAAAAGAGGATTTTCCCAAAAAAATATCAGACCGCATTGTGACCACACCAAAGAATCCTGGTGGGACCCACTTTATTCTCCAGTAACCCCACTTCGTAGATAAGGGACGACGGAAGCACGTGGGCCACGCCTCCGACGCAAACCGACCGAACACTGACGAGAAAGTTAGGTACCCAACCTCCTCCCAACACGTAAACACGCAGTTGCGACGCCTTTAGTCGGATTAATTTCACAGAACCCCTTAAAACTTCCATGATTTGTACAAAATCTGCTCGAACCAAGAGAATCGGACAAATTCTTCCCTACTTCCGTACGATTTTTTACAGTTGCAAAATCATTTTCTTCGACTTGAATATCAAAACCAAGATTCAGCTAGACTATACCAACGCGTCACGCACTCATCACGTTAATACACGACCCACCACGCTCCGTACAACTCCATCCCAGCTGCGCATTCTAGCAACTTCGTGCAGACAAGAACTAACGCCAACTGACAACAGGAACAGAATAGATGCATGCCACAAACATTACGATATTCATAGAAGGGACAACAACGACAAAATGATGAAGCAAAACAAACTACCACATATCTACAAGAGTTATGCTGGAAATGACGAACATACCCCTACTACTAGGTTAAATTTACATCAACTGCCACTACGCCTAAAAGCCCACGTATCTACTTCTTCGCCTTCTTCGCCGCCGGCGCCTTCTTTGCCGGGGACTTTGCCGCCGCCTTTTTCACGCTCTTCACCGCCTGCCGCGAAGACGAAAGGCGACCGAAGGTGAAGTCGCCGGTGAAGAAGGCGGCGAAGCCGAAGTCTCGCGCCTCGGCCCAAGAAGCGGCGCCGTGCCGGCGAAGAACGCAGCCTGCCCCTAGTCGCACGAAGAGTGAAGGTCGGGAACAGGTGTCGAATGCCGACTGCGAAAGCGCGAAGGTTGGAAACGAGCG